GAATCAGAAGGGACACCGAAGCAAAATTACCAAGACAGTGTACCTAGGTTCAATTCTCTTTACGGTAGACAGTGCCCCAATTTCAATTGCCTTGTAGTTGCAGATATAATGAATGCTCGATAAAGCTGTAACGCCTACTCATCAGGCATATGCCTCGCTCTTCGACTTCTTTCTCCTTCGCTATGAGCCTCTTTATGGACATGTAGAGGACACCATGACTTTTCGTATTTTGCGCCCGTCCGTCTAATCTGCATCATGACTTTAGATACCGTAACGACTTCATTGTCCATTTGTCATCAGGACTTACCAACACTTTCACCAGATGGCTCTCGAATATTCCCCAAAATGGATTTAATGGCCATTTACTTGAAATCAAGCAAATACATTTTGTCCTTAGTTTGGGAATTGTTGCACTCATTGGATGGCGCCGATTCACGCTCTAATAATCCGCCGGGTCGGGCTCACGCCACAAGACAGGTAGAGCCACTACACAACCGATCGATACATGACTGAGATGGTGTTCCCCAACAACGAAGCTTATTAAAAACAGATTTAATCCGATAGTTGGAAATTTTCACATAACGGTTTGGGATAGCGAAAGCCCAACCTTTCTGACGAAAACCTTTGGCTTTGTGAAACTTCTGCTAACACTCATTCAACAACCAGCTGATACTTCTCTCTTTCTTTCCTTCTCGTTTTTGCACTCAAGCAACGTATGCTTCTCCCTTTGACTTCACGTATTAAATTCAATCAAGAAAAATATAAGCGTGAATATATTGTTTAGGAGATAATCACAGCATATTGGTGATAGGGGATATCCAAGGTGATGGCGTTCAACAGCCAAGAACGACAAAGAGGAGAAGGTGCAATTAAAATGTCGCTACTTTAGCATGATGTTCGACTACGTCGTTCATTATCAGAGGCATTACTGGCGACAAAACTAAATACCACATCATAGTGGCAGCGTTCGAGAGAAACGTTTTAGTATAGGCTAGCGATATTACAATGAATCCACCTGAAGAAAAAAACGTACAAAATTAATTGAAAGAAGGAAAAACGTGTTAAAAGAGTTGACACAACTTGGTTTGTCTACTTTAGTTAACAGCCTGAATATCTAGCTCTTCTGCATTACTAAAGGTATTTTCTTCTCTCTTCGCCGAGTACGTTATTATATCAAATATATTACTCCTATAAAATGTTTAATATTGTTATGAAATTCGCTTTTATGAGATACAGTCCGTATCACTAGATCGTGGATATATTGATCAAGAGAAATGCACTTCAAAGTTCTTTTATTTTACTACGTTGTCTTTCACAACAGTAGCAATATTTATTTACAATTTATTTTGGCCGTACTCTCAACTTCTACGTTCTTGCCAGACTAACTCTACTTTTCACAAATATTCTACTTATATACAAATTTACAAGCATCTTACTATACCTAATTTTATGGTTTGATTTCTAATCCCAGCCTGCTTTTCCTGTAATCGTTTTCATCGGCCTGCACCTGCATGACGAGTCTGCGAATATGCACTTAGCTTTTACCTGTTTGCTTTTCCGCTATTCGTTTTCATCGGCCTGCAGCTTCATTTGGTTTCTTCCTTCTTTATGAAATTTGTTATTCCGAAAATTACTTAGCTGATATTAACTGGATTTGGGATTTTCGTAACAATTTCGTATTAAGGACGCTATTGTTTAAATAGCATACGACGGTTGAAAAAGGTCTGCCAAATGGTAAATATCATTTACATAAGTATGTTGATGCACTTTATTTTTATTTCCTTTAAAATGGACTCTCACCTTTACTTTTTTTTGTTATATACCAAGCGATTTAGGAAAATGTCCGGGCATGGTTGTGATTAGGAAGAGTTACAGTTAGGTTGATTACCAGTGAAAATACCCACCTCGTGTCCAAAGTTTGAGATACGAGATGAGATAATTTTTCCTAACACTCAAACTCCTATTGTACCGCTAAAGCTACAACCATGAGCATATGTATATTCATTCATATACAGTCAAACCTGTTTTTGTGCGGTAGATAGGGACCGCAGCAAAAAAGTCGCACAAAAAATATATTCAAAAACTTCATAAATAGCTATAAGAAATAATTTTTCACAGCATATTAAGGAAAATTTTTTTTATGCGGTAGAGAGGGACCGCATAAAAAAAGTCTCACTTAGAAAATATGTCAAAGCTTCACGAAATAGCAAGAAAGTGCTTTCCAAACAAAATAAATAATTAAATTACACATTGAAACATTTAAAAAAATTTTAATGTCTAATTTTAAACAAGGAGAAATTTTCAAAATGTACATATTGAAATTGGCTGATGCAATATATGCATAAGAACATTGAGCATGCCAAATGAAATAGGCTGATGCAATAGGTATGAAAATGGCTGTTGCAATGTGTACATACACACTGATAGCAAAAAAAGTGATGCCAACACAGTTCAGATTGACCTAACCTCTCGGCGAAATTCAATGTGTCGATATTCATATACCGCACAAAAAAAGAATCGCACAAAAAAAGCGCATAAAAAAAGACCGCACAAAAACAGGTTTGAGTATATGTTTAAATATTTGTACATCCTGTATGAATACAAATATTGTAAGAATTTGTACTTTTTATGCCCATCACCGAAGAATGGCGGGTATATTCATTTTCTCTAAACCTTTACAACATAACCGCGGGAAGCTTCAGAGATCATTTAAAATATCTACACATATTATTGAGTATTATCAAATTCTGAATTGATTTAAGTGAGGTCGCCTATCCGCCCGCATAAGCTCCGATCGCGAATATAAAGATATCAGCTTTAAATTTTAGAAAGACAACGGCCGCACGATAGCATGAGCAGAGAAGAAAAGCGAAAAGAAAAATAAATTGGATTTTTTGGTTATTACTACTCGTGACAGATAAAATAGGTGCACTACTTCTACGATCTTACAGTATTCATGTATGTATGTATAAAAATGGGAGAAAAATCTGGCCAAGCCCAGCTAGCATTGTAGTTTGCAGATTGAATCATAGTCGAATGCAAATTTCTTACTTGTTCTACTTACATTAGTATTATTTCGCATTTCACGTGTTATGAGTGTTAGGATTTTTCCATTCTCTAATGAATGCATTTCAGAAAATAATAATTGTTTTTCGACTTGTTTTACTGGCTTACATATTTTTAGATAGAATTTTAAATTACTCGAAAATGTTTATAGAATTTACTTGAAAAACTCTGAAAAAAATCGCAGTGCACTCTTCGATCCCTTACCTAAAGCTAACATTTTCGTTGAAAAAAAAAAAAGATAAAAGAACAAAATAATGAATGGAAGTAAAGGATTATTTATACAGTATTTTATTATTCTCATGTGATAGCGATGGCAAAGGCACTCTCAATAGACGCCAACGTCACACACACATCATCCGCATAAAATTGAGAAAAATAAACTAAACGAATGAAACGATGAAAAGATATTGTGTTGATTTCAATCATTACTGTCCCCATCCACATTAGGATTCCCATTGCCTTACTTTCAATTCTAATTGTGTACAAAATAAATCAGATCCCGTATCATGTGAAAAGCAAACATAAAAAGAAGAGCAGAGTTTCATGCACTTAGCCAGAAAAAGCAAATTATTTATCAAGAGCCTCTGAAGCAATTTTAAAAGTAAGTAAGAAAATTACATTCGATCATGACCGAATCTTTTGCACCCATCATCGTGATGCTGATGAAAAAAAGAAAGGAACTAAATTTCCATACGCGATAACAGTGGATAGATGCCGTAGTTTTTTCCCTTTTCAGCGTAAAAGTTTTTATTGTGTGTGTGTTTCACTTTATGGGGAACAAGCAAAAAACACGGAAAGCAAAAGTGTGCACAATTTTCATAACGTAAACGCGTGGGCGTGTTTTTTTTTTTTTTTTTTTTGAAAAGTTTGGGTCTTTTTCAAATTCTCCTGCGTAGGCAATATTTTCAATTTTGCGAATGAGAAAATGTTTATCGCAGATGCTACACGATTGTGCAGACAGTGTAGACTGTTATATTTTCTATTCGGGAAAAATATATTAAAACATATCAAGGTACACCTCAGCGTCTGTTCCAGGCGTTTTTACCTTCGATGTTTACAATTCCCAGCGCAAAATAAGATTAAGCGTTATAACCCAACATCTTTTATTTAAGATGGAAATATTGAAGAATAGCTTATCTTACAATTCTATGCAACTGTAACTAATCATATAATCTAACGTTTTAAAATAAACAAAGAAATCTTATGTAGGGAAATGATCAAACTTAATGTATCTCAGCCTATTGCCTATCATTATCAGCCTATTCGGACGGTCAAGCAGAGGATCTACGCTTAATCGGTGTCCCTACGAGCAACTTCACTACTCGTATGGTTTCTTTGATGTTATTGAGCTCGATCCAGAAGGAACAAAATGTACGGCTTTCTTCTCCTCTATGCCTCTGTTCAAAATCACATTGGATTTGTCAATTGAGTTTGCATAGTGTGAACCAAGTTAATTGACATTTTGCGCATCCTGTAACATGAGAACTATCACGCAAATTATGCCTTCACATAAAAGCAATGTATAGTTTTTAAATGAAACGAAAACGAATGAATGTCTGTATTAAACGTAGTGATGTAGGGTGCCTAGTAGTCGGCTTTGCCTATATAGTGTGTCTACTTGTTTTTCTACAAAAAAACACTTTTACAGAATCCCTAAACAGTCCCAAATTGGTCGTCTCTCACCATAAATGAGATCTCTTATAATTTTGACATTCCGACAGACAGGAATCTTATCATAAACTTATGACGATTCTAAAAAAAAAAAATAAACTTTCTGTTTACATCTTTTTTTAAATATATTGGTATCTATCGTCTTGAACTAAATATTAGGTTATGTTAATGTTGCTTCTTCCCTAAAATATTGTTATTATTTCATTTCAGCTCTTAACTCAATTTTATTTGCAATGTATGCCGCAACTTAAAAAGTGAAAAAAAAAAAAAAACGAAAAACAATCATAAATATTTCTGCTAAACTGAGCAAACGAATTTAGTTTGTTTTTCAATATTACGATGTAGAGTCTCAAAGTGAATATATTGAATAAAAAAATTCATTAGAAAACAAATATGTCACTCACGGTAAAGTTAATAGGATTTGAAGTGCCGAAGGCCAAATCGAATCTCATTGGACGAGTGGAATTCCGAGGTAAGTCAAAATGTATTTTAACAAGTAAGAAAATTATATTCGCACGCTTCTATTTATTGCCACAAAACGTTGAATGCGACAAAATTTATCTCTCATCTTCTACTCCAATAAAATATATTGTTGGGAACAATTAATGTACCAATATGTGACGTCCACCACAGTTAAGTTAGAATTAACACACTTAGCTTGTCGCATTCTATTGCCCAAGTCCTTTTATTTGACACCCATATCGCTGATATTATTAAGACCAACAGGTCGCTGTATTTACCATATGTAGTTTAGAATTAACCCATTTTTGGGTAAATAATATATCATGCAAAATAGTTTTAAACATTCTATCCCTAATAAGCATAAAAAGTGAAAGAAAAATAATATTTCATCATTTGTATCTTTGGGTGGGCATGGCTGATTTTTTCCAATTGCGCACGTAAGGAGTAGAGTGTTTCGTAAGGTAAATGTCATCGTTTCATTTTACCAAAAATATCTTGAAAATTGTGACCTTGAGATTGATAATAGGACGGACAGACGAACAGGTGAGCTTAATTCGGTTCAGAATGCGATTGTGAATATTCGAGCGGGATAATAAAATATTCGGGTATCTTAAGATCTTAAACTGAAAAGTGATCGAACGAGGAGATAGCTCGTAAGTGTCTAAAGGAAGAACTCGGTAAAGCCAGTAAATTGTCTGAGAGTTCTGTCTCGGTGGACAAAAGCAAATACGGTTATCCGAAAGTCTCCGTTATCCCATTGAGCAATAATATCATCCAGCGTTTCCCAAGTAAAAGTAGATCATTCGTCTGAGTTTTTTCAAATAACAAATCAACATCAAAGATTTTTCCTTTTCCAGGCCTTAAAATGTACATTGAAAAAATTTTTCTCGATTTTTTCAAAATGGACATGTGACAGTTGCTCTATAACATTATCTCTACGCCGTAGCGCAACAGATCATAATAATTTTGAAGGTGCGACCGCAAGTCAAAAACATTCTCAAAACATGACTCAAAATCTAGTGGCGACTGTTCTCGACTCCTATTACAATTTTGATATCAAAAATACGTCAATAGGAATTTAATTTTTTATGAAAATAAAAAAAAAATAAAAAAGAAAAAAAGTGTCGACTGTTAATCAGGAAAATCTTTGATAATTTGTTCACAATCAAATAAACACTGAAGTACCCACCGGCATGGCAGACTGGCAGAACATGCTCTCGTAAAAAACTTGTTTAAATTTAAATTAAGTTTTGAAGAATGTTTGCTTCCAAAACACTTTTTCTTCATCATACAATTAATTTAAAGACTTTGTTGAATACATCGAAGAGCATGGTTGAATGTTATTAAAAATTGCCTTTTATACTTACCAAGTTATCCGGCACACTCTACGCACTATGTTGCTTATGTTGATTTTAGGTAAAATTTAAAACTTCATCTCACTCACAGGACATTTTTTTTCCCCTTTTATGATTTTCGGACATTTAATTTGCGGCCAAGATAATGTTACCCCTTAGTTTGATACTAATCTTCATAGCACTCTTTCCACAAAAAAACAAATATATTCAATGATCGTCAATTAAATTTGGGTCAACGCGGATGAATTCATATTCACCCATGATGTAAATCAATTTCGTATCACGCATTATTTATTTGCATTGATTTTACAGCATGTGGCAAATCGAATTGACGATTATAGCGATAGTTGGACATTCCTGTTGAGATTTGCACAGTTTTTCGAATAGAGAAGACATGGCGCTCTCCAAGACACTTTGAACGTGGGTGTTCTTGGTGAGAAAGCAGGCTGTTTTTGGGGATTTTCAGCCACATGCATATATAATGCGAAAATTGAAGTAAAGTAACCATTCTGAACGTTAGACATCATAAGAACATTGAAACTTTATTATGAAGAGAGACCGCCATATGACTTAACTATATATAAGATTGTCTCATGAACACACCGACCATAAGATGAGAGTTTATCCTCAACAGTTACGCAATATTAAAAATAAATCATTGATTTTGTACATCCCCCACAATTGGTTAAGATGGATTTTTAATATGCTTGACTTTTAATATTCGCTTCAGGACGAATATAACGGATATTTTGCTTTCTTTTTATTTGTTATATTATCTTTGTTTACATAAAATACCATTTAATATAAATCATATGCTCGAGTTCACGTAGGAATGAGTATTAAGCAATAACAGATAAACTCTTCAAGTTACTTGCATTTAAAATTTGCAAATTTGTTATACCCGTCACGGAAAGATGCGAGCTATATTCACTTTGTCGAAACGTTTGAAACGCTCAATAGGAAATTTCAGAGACCTCAAAAAGTATATATATTTTTGATCGAGTTAAGCATGCTCGTCAGTTCGTTTGTCCGTTTGTCGCCTAATGTCTGGTATAAACATTCTACTAGACGCAAAAAATGAAGCTATTGATTTGTTATTTAGCAAAACTATTAGAAGTTCTTATCGCAAAGGCTGATACCGCAAATGGGCCAAATCGAAAACACACAGCTACAGTACCACGTAAACTGAGCGCATGTCTGATTTCGAAAGAAATAACAAATTGTTTTTTTGCTCATTACTCATAAAATAAATTTAAAACGTACTTTCGATGGATGATGCTATAGTACCTTTAAATAACTGGAAAAAATCGACCACGCCTACTCATTTTTATAGTATGTTATAATTTCATGCATTTTCAACATCTTCATAATGCACAGAGAGAATCAAAATTCAAAAAGCCCATAAAATATATAAATCCTTGGCCTGTTTCGAATTCGGAATGCAGCTAACCAAGTCCGGCAATCCGCCTGTCCATCTATCTGTCGGACTAACTGCGCAGCATCTGCAATAGGCGCTCCCCCGTTCTCAAAAAAGAACATATCCCTTAAAAATTTGCAAAAGATTTTGAAAATGACCCAAATTTGTCAAATGGCACGCCTATACAATAAAAACTGCCCATACTTTTTGCTTGTGACTCATAACGCATAGCACAAACACCATATAAGTTTTCACTTTCATTCTGAAAATAGATAAAATAAGCCGTGCGCCCACTCAATATTATAGAATATGAAAAGATTTGTTCATAACTTTGTTAAAATATGTTCTGCGAAATTTCCTCCTCCGTCCTTAAGCTATATAAACTCATTACAATTGAAGTTAAAATTTCTTATTCTTTCAAAGTATTGTAATAGTCGATGTAATTTGCAGACTTTCGGGGATTAATTATGAATATTAAATCAAAATAAGTAAACAAAATGCGTTCATTCATCTTGAGTCGAATAATTGATTGTTTAATGGCTCGAGGCTCAAGATCGAAATCGCCTATATCGACGGCTTTTTCATACTTTAGCTGTACGCAGAAATGGATGAGACACAGACGTATAAAGATATATGAGATATTGGACAGGCAGACGGGCAGACTCTGGCGAATATTTGGGAGCATATAAATCCAAACCGTACGAAAGCCTATGCAGTTGCATTCACCAAAAGTTGTAGTTTACTATTGTCCACTTCTCGATAGCAGAAAAGATTAAGCGCAACGGCCGAATATAGAACGTTCGGTACTTTTTCTTTAAATTGCGCTTCTTTTCTGGGCTATGGCATGAAAAGAGTTTTCGCTATAAAAACAAAAAACAATTCCCGCTTATGAATAATATGTACTTTTATGTTCAATTTTATTAAAAAAAGAAATAAAACAAAACTCTTATGTGTCGTTTAAGAAAATGTCTATAGCTTCTGTGTTCGCTTAATGCCTTTATGAATGCATTTAATAAATATTATCTTGCCGTACAGAGAGCACAGGTGTTTTTAGCCATCACAGGCCGTTTCTGCCAACATCGCAAACACGTTTGCTAACGTATTTCCAAAAGTGTAGCATAGAATAAGAACAAACATTTTAAGGCTGCTTTATTAGCGTTGATTGTCACATAAGCGGACACCCAGCCCAGTTATATCAGTTAAAAGTTGGCGTCATTTTCAATAAATAAAACGAGCAAACTCCTCGGCATACTATAGCCGGTAAAGAAGATTCATTGTCATAACTCCTTTTACAATTTATTTGCGAAACTTTTACTAAACAGTTGAACGTACTTTCCTCTAAATATACTTTTCCGCATTTCATAAGACAATTGTATTAATTCACTTTAGTGAGAAATTTTGTTTTTAAGAAGAATTTGCAAAAGAGTTAATTATTTTTCGAATGTTAGAAAATTCGAAAAGATTGACCCATCTGCAATACTTTCACATACATCGCTTTAGTCCAGAAAAACTTGGTTTGAATATTTATGAACCTCGATTATACGCTACACCACTTGTGGTACAGACTATATTAAGTTTATGCAGACATACGGGCTTAAGAAGGGCTTAAGATAGACCCATCTTGCATTATACCGATCTAAATTTGTCTGTCCGTCTGTCCTTCTGAAGTCTGTCCATGAATGTTTGTGTTCAATGTACAGGTCGAAATTTTTGATATATTTTGATCAAATTTGTTACACTGACGTAATTTAACTCAAGGCCGACTACTATTGAAAGTGGTTCGGATACGATCACTTTCTCTACCACTTCGGGTCTAACAGCTTATTGTGAAAAGTTATGTAAAAATAACTATACTAAGCGAGGTGGTGTAGGATATTTCATTGGGGACCTTGTCCAACTATAATGTCTTTACAAGGTTATGTTAAGGGAAAACCCATTATGAAATCATTTTACAAGCAATTTTCTACAATATCTGATTATATATAACTACAGATTTTCTACATAATTTTACATAATTACAGGCGTTTCTCATGTCACTTCAGAGCTGACTACTACTGCTGCTGCTGGAAGCGTTGTTGATGTCAATCAGGTAAAGCTTTCTTTTGTCTCCTTTACAATTAAATCTTTATTTTATTATAAATTACATTTTCCAACATCACTTAATGCAAACATCAAATAGAATCTTACCCGCTTGACTATTGTTAGAATTGACACAATTATCAGCATCTAGCCATAACACAACACATATTGAATTTTCTTTTTTTATTTTTTCGTTTTCATTTTATTTACAGTCTTTTATATGGCCATTGGCACGCTCAGCTACCGATGATGAGCCACTCATTGTGGAATTGCGTACGCAAACAACTAAAACTCTTATCAAAACGGGTTTTAGTCAAGCGTCAGGTAGTTGGATGGGGAGCGGAGGGGGTACAATGAGTGCAACAACTGGTACCATAGCAAGTAGCAGTAAATGTGTTGGTCAATATATCATACTAATGCAAGGTAAGTCAGTCAATATATAATGCTTTGTAAATTGATGTTAATAACCAGTAGTGCATAAAGAGCATAGTTTTATAGAATAAAAGCCAGCCACAATATGTTGTTCAGCACTAATCATATCGCTAATGAAATTTAATTATTAATTAGAGTAAAATTATTTTAAAGATATGTGAACTAAATACATTAATAAATTCTTTGAATATTTTATTCCCAAAACACATATGCTTTGCTGCATTGTTTTACACCCACCATAGCGGTTGTATTAAGCTAGTAAACTGTTTGTAACCTTAGGTAAATATTTGAAAGTGAGTAAAGGAATATAAATTGAAATTTCATTTCCGTATAAACTAAGCAATATACCTTTCACTCACGGCAATGTCCCCAATTTCAGAACCAGCAAGCTCAAAACGGTCTTCATTCACTTAGTACCCGAAAATTGGCAAAGCTTCTGGAAAGAATCCTTCTTTCGACCTGGCATAGTCAATAATATTTCGAAGATATTCCTTGCGGCCACTTCTGTGCTTGACGCTCTTACCTTGACTCATCAGAATACAGAGATTTTAAATTAAGACTTGAAAGCCCGTCAATAACGCAGACGTATTGTCAATTTATTATACGGGGTTACTAAGCGCTGGAGTGATGGGTGACCCATAATTCATCTCCCGCATAGCCAAGTCATTGAGAAGCATGGTCGTAACTATAGCGAATACTCGATCGGTAAAGGCATAACACTTACCGCTCGGACACAAACCTCCCAGGCTGCGGCCATTTGTTATCTCTCCCATCCCATATCCTTCTCATCATCACCCTGTTATATACGTATGTCTGTCTACATTCTCTGACTGATTGGTTGTATAGAAAAAAAATAAAGAATAAGTACTCATGCCAGGTATCCGCAAATAGCTGATCAAAGGTGTAAATCTTAAAATCCTATCTAGACCTACTTACTTTATCGAAAAGTTTATCTGAATTTTTCCTCTCGATTCCGAAGGCTAAATTCGAAACAAAAATTTACCATGTCGGTTCATATATAATTCATCCATGATATGTAAAAATCTGAAAATATGTAGCGAAATCCTATAAACTGTATACCTCTTCTATTTTCCTCTACACGTTTAGTTATTTCTCTGCCTATCTGGCTAAAGCTAAAAACTGGTACACGAACCGTAACAAAAAATATTCCTTCCTGCAAACCGGCTATCTGGGTCATATTAGGCTCGCCCGCAGTTAGGAGAAGCAAATGCTTTATTCTCTATTCTTAATGCAGACTTGGTATTTATCTTGCTCTTTGCGCGGTTACATATATGTTGTGAGTAGCGGAAGCTTCAGTCCGAGCCAAATACAATTTTTCCCTTTTTTCTTTTTATCGCGACCTTAATATATATTTTACTCAATTCTCTTGGGCGATCACGGTTTATTTATTTATTTTTTTTTTTTTTTCATTTTTTTTGAATTAGCCTTGAGGTATTTTAAAAATTAAAATAAAACAAAAATAAAACGAAATTAGTGCAAATGCTAAAAAATTATAATAATGAATGAACGAACGCGTAGTTTATAAGCATTCGCATGAATTTAAATAACGATTTGCGGTCGAAAAAATAGAATGAACGGCTTTAGGTAAGCAACTCATTAAAATGTAAAAAGCAATGATTACATATCGCCTCCGCAAATATAGGAAAGCAAAGCCTTTCAACAATTTGTTACAGTAACCCCTTGACCTGCTTAACGAATAAATCCTTCAACCACATCAACATACCAATTTTCATCAAGTTTAAGGTCATACGCTATCCAATGCAATGATGTAGAAAATCACTAGAACGAAAAAGCAAAAATGTAAAAAAATAAAAATAAAGAACAACACAAGCAAGTACTTGCTTGCACAAACAAAACAAAAAAAATTTTGTTTCATCGCAGGCACTTTGTCAAACTAAAAGGAAAAGTTGGAAACCAATTTCATTTAAAATGATTGTTAACTCTGCATACAAAATCAAAAAAAAAAGAAAAACTCCAAATTTAGGTCAAGTTCACTGCTCTGCACAAACTCTAAAAAAAACAACAAACGCCAATAAAATGGATAAGAAACAGTTTACATGTTAAAAACTTTGGAGACGGCCACCGCTCGTAAACAAAAAATTTGATAAATTCATTCTAATAATCTTGAGGAAAATTTATAGATTTTTCGCGGATACCAAGCATTTTCAATAGCTTTTGTTCTTAGTTCCAAGCACGTCAGTGTAACAAATTTCAATAAAACTTAGTGCACCCTTAACACAATAATGCATGGAAATACATCACGTGGACAGGCGGACAGACAAGTTTCGAGCCATGCACAAATGATTCTGAATTGATCGGTATAGTAAAAAGACAGTCTATCTTGAGCCCTTCTGAGTGTTATGTATGTTCGGGCTAACTTACTATACCGTTTATCACAAGTTCTGGGTAATCGCATAGTAACAACCTACAATATTGTAGTGTTACTCTTTGCGTTTCTTACTATTATTTCTTTCTATTTTAATAGAAAGAAATAATTACGCATCTTAAAAAGTTTGTCACGTGTATAGGAACACATAACAGATCAACGTATATAATGTAGAGTTTAGAATCATTACGATCTCAAAGCTTTCCCTAGTACATCACAAGTTAATCGATTTCATATTTCTTTTGCAATCATAATTTATTAAAGGCTTTCGTGCTTTTGATTCATGCTTGTATTCACTTTTACATTATTTACCACGAGCCCAATATAACTTGTCTCTTGCAAAAGCAACATCGTGGGGCCTATTAAACATACGGGATTTTCATAGCGAAAATCAAATCAACGCTATGTTAATGACCTGCTCAGTTTCGCTGTGAACTCTTCCATGTTAAAGGCGGGCCGCGCTCGGGTCGACCAATTGTTAATAAAGTGGATAAAATTTTCAAAAGGACGGGCGACACACGTTATCGTTGCCGACCTAAACATTGATCAGAAAACAATTTGAAACCGTTAAGCTATAGTAGGAGGATACAATAGGAATTGCGATTGTTGTGTGTATCACATGAATTAATGCCGCAAAAATTTAATGGATACATTTGCCAACTGCGAATCGCTGCTAAAATGAAACGAAATCATGCCATTTTTGAAGAGACAAACCACAAACGATGGAAAGTGAATAACAAGGTGAGGTGCGAAGTAACTTAGATCCGCATAGGTTAGATCTTGCCGCGTTTATTATTTGTACCCTACGCTTAAAGCTATAATGTAAAAATTGATGTAAGCCTGACCTTAATCAGTAAAAATCATTTGGTACGGTTTCCTTCTGAGAAACGCCCGAACTGTTAGCCTAAATGCAGTCGTATAGTGAAAATTTATTAATTAAAATGGCTCGTGTTTGATTTAGCAACAATCAAAGAAAAAGCTCCGCGAAGTTTCTTCATGACCTACTTTTTTACGCAACAGACACGTTCCTTAGAAGACCGTGCAAAAAAATAACTGTGACGTACATTAAATTTGGGGATATATTTTATAAACTTAAAAATTAGGAATAAAAATCAATTTCGCTTCAATTCACACGTTTATTATGGACTGAATTTATTCCATCCTCTACACACTGAACACTCTCAATGTTACTAAAAAAGTCAATATAAGATTTAAAAATTGTTTTGGGATTCGTGCTGGAACAAGGAATTCGTGTACTTGTTCTTATTGATGAATCGTGTTACTCTGAAATTGGGTAAAAAAATACTGTGTAAAATACGAGTTGGCTATATTTATAAATTACACGGAGCTCAGAAAAAGAAAACTGATATTCGTCGAACGTGTACCTAAGAAATTTCTTGGAACCGTTTATAGGTCGATCGCATAAACATCAATTCTTAAGAATTAAAAATTACAAGGAAATGTAAGTAATTTAAAAAATCAATCTATATGATATGTGGTGGCATACTATCTTTAACAGGCTATGCAATAAATCAATATTGAGAAGGGGATAAGCTGTATTTGCTATACCCATCACCGAAGCAAGAGATATATATCCATTTTGTCAAAACGCGTGTTTGCAAACGCCTGCAGAGACTTCACAAACTATATATATTCTTGATCAGCATCAAATGCTAAATCGATTTAAGTATGTCCGTCCGTCGGTCTTTGTAACGTCTGTTTGAAACGCGCTCCTGGCCGCAAAAATCGAACTATCGACTTTAAATTTGGGCTAAAACGTTGGAAGGCCAAATTGATTGAAACACACGCCCACAGCACCACACAAACCTCTCGCAAACCTCTATTTTCGGAAAGGCATAAAACAATTGAAGTTTTGCTCATTACTCATAAATTAAAATAAATATATGTACGAAAATTTGAACGCGTATTCTAGCACCAGTAGAAAAAATGAGAAAACTTTACCGAGACGTCTGTCCAGGTCTTGCAGTGTGGGCAATTGTGTCGTATTTGTGGTAAACATTCTCCCGCTAGCGAGAATGGAGATATCGTACAAATTTGCAGAAGAATTTGAAAGTGAATTTAACTTTTCGATGGACACGCCCACACCCCTATGCGACAAAAACTTTTATTTTGAAACTAGAAAAAATCGGTCGCTTACACTACGTATTACAGAGCGTGGAAATTCCGTTCTTTTAC